ATATATACATACATACATACATAGTATTACCCCGCCTAACGCGGTTTCACTTAACGCGTTTTATCATATACGCGGTGCCTCGCCAGAGCTGAACTTTCACTTAACACGGATTTTTTCATCATATACGCGGTGAGTGTCCGGCTCGAGACGCTATTTTTAGATTTGCCCCACCCTCCACCCTGCCTGACTGCCTGTTTTAGCTCATAAAATTCATACAAATTACCCGGCCAGAATATAATTTACATTGCTGGAATTCTTATAATTTGGTGATCATTTTGAATATAAACATCATATATTTTGCATTAGACATACAAATTTTAGATAACATTTTTTCTCTGGGTAACTATGTTATCTTTTGTGCAAAATATATGACATTTATATTCAAAATATTCCTGGTCTTACAAGGAATCCAGCAATGTCAATTATATTATCCTAACTTTAGTTTGAGGTATTATTTATTACAAAAAAGTTAAGTATTCTGGTTTTCCCACACATCTCCTTGGGACGGTTGGTGGGGGGTGGGGGGGAGGGAGGGACCGACCGACCATCTGTTACCCTGTGAAGAATATTTTTTTTTTTTATTAACTGAAGATATTTGTTTTAGCTCATAAAATTCATACAAATTACCCGGTCAGAATATAATTTACATTGCTGGAATTCTTATAATTTGATGATCATTTTGAATATAAACATCATATATTTTGCATTAGACATAAAATTTTTAGATAAAATGTTTAATCTGAGTAAGTATGTTATCTTTCGTGCAAAATATATGACGTTTATATTCAAAATATTCCTGGTCTTACAAGGAATCCAGCAATGTCAATTATATTATCCTAACTTTAATCTGAGGTATTATTTAATACAAAATGTTAAAATCTAAATTTTTCACCCACTCTTCTCCTGAAGGGATGATTGGTGGGGGGTGGGGGGGAGGGTTGGGACTGACCGCGCGGTTGGGAGAGGGGGGGGAGGCAAGGTGGGGTACTTTGATTGACAGATAGTGTGTGAAGATTATTTTTTTTTTATTAACTGAAGATATTTGTTTTAGCTCATAAAATTCATACAAATTACCCGGCCAGAATATAATTTACATTGCTGGAATTCTTATAATTTGGTGATCATTTTGAATATAAACATCATATATTTTGCATTAGACATACAAATTTTAGATAAAAAATTTTTTCTGAGTAACTATGTTATCTTTTGTGCAAAATATATGACATTTATATTCAAAATATTCCTGGTCTTACAAGGAATCCAGCAATGTCAATTGTATTATCCTAACTTTAGTTTGAGGTATTATTTATTAAAATTTAGTGGTTTTCCCCCAAAAATTTCTCAGAGAGGGAAGAGCCGGCAGTGTAGTGTGAGAGGGGGAGGGAGTTGAGTCCATTATTTGAATGGACATTAACTTGGCGACTGTATTTCTCTATTTCTCTTAAGTATTAATTGTGTGCATGTACCATCATAAAATTAAGATGTTATTTTTACTACAACATAGTTATGTGTCTTCAAAAAGTGGAGTTTGGGGGTCGGGCCGGTTTCTATTGGAATTAATCCCATATGTTCTGTTGTTCACTTAACGCGGATTTCACTTAACACGGGACCCTCTGGGTTCTATTGACCGCGTTAAGTGGGGTACAACTGTATATATATACTGAACATTATGTAGATGCGCATGAAACACAGTTTTTCCTGGAAAATCGGTGTATGGTTACATTGTTTCAGCGCTGTTTGAACATTTGTATGACCGCCAATTTGCATATTCCTTCTCCAGCAGAATAAACGGGCGCACATAGGCTGGGCATATGTGTAAATGTATACATGACGACTTACACTGTGATAATACCCTAAGATCATCCACTTCTAACAAAGAATAGTCTTCATCTATTAGTAAAAGATCGGTTGGTATATCCAGAGTAAACAGTGTGTCATCAGAGAACAGTATAATGGGAAAGGTTCTACATGCCATGCATTAATTTGCTTTGCACTAGCATAGTTACGTGGATGAGGAAAGCATAGTGTGTGTTAGAGTTGACTGTAACAGAAGGATATACTGTACTCTTCTATCTCATCTGCAAAAATTACTCGTCTTGGCTATTTGTAAAGCTTCAAGAAGAATTTTCACATACTCAAGCTCGTCCTAAACCTGCATCAACCATACTTGCAATTAGTTAGTTTTTGTTAATAGATACAGCTTGAGCTGAAGTTTTTGTAGCATGCAAAATGCTTGGAAAAAGAAATGAATCATCCACTGTAGGTACAGTACTGAATTCATGAAATGATAGAAATTTAAATAAATGATTAGACTCGGAAATCTTTGTATGTTAATATCATTGTAGAAATGTTAGGAACATTATTATATACGTTTCACAGAACATAGTTTTAAACAATAATCATCAGATACACTGGGGGGTGTATTTGACGTGTTTGAACAGTTGTGTCTGGGACATTATCATTCCTTGGGAATGAATCTGAATGGACCTTTTTAAGTCTGTCTGCATGAACAACATCTGAAGTTTGAGAGTTCGGCTTCAAAATTTTTAGTTTGTTGCACGCTTCTTTGGCAGTACAGTGAATTCAGCTATAACGCGTGTTTTGACAACGCGAATTGGCTCTAGCGCGATTTATGAATAGAGGAACGTTATTTGTAAAACGCGAACGCTTGTTTGCTGTAACACGATTTTTGCTTACTATTTCTCCAATTTTGTGGTATTAACTGGGAATATGGTAAAGAAGAATGTCTCCAAGAAGCGTTCTGGCGATCGCATTCCTGGTGATGATCGTAAAAGAGAGGCTATAACACTTGAAGAGAAGCTCGATGTTATCAACCTCAAAATCACCCTTCTCCCCCATCAAGTTATATTCATATTTTTTCAAGGTAAAGTGTTACATTTACAGTATGATTTCATTATTAGATATGACTGTAACATTTATTTAGACTGCACTATCCTTTGTGTTAGGTTAACTAATAAATTTTTTCGATTTTGAGTAATCTGCACCTAACCCTATTTTCTCCATAAGCCCTGTTATTTCTATTGCGCGAATTTATATAACACGATGTTTTACAAGAACATAACTATCGCGTTTTAGCAGAACTGACTGTACTGTAATACGGAATGGTCCGTCAAACTTGGGTGAAAGCTTGGACTTTCGTTCAGGTTCTCCCACCATAACGGCATCGCCTATTTCTAGCACGACAGGATTAGCTTGTCTATATTGCTTGTACAGTATATCATTTCAGTGCGTGATGCTGCTAAATGTTTACGTAATTGGCCATGAATATCCGTGAATACGTTGATTTGCTTGGTAGCGACATAGTCTACATTATAGACTGGGCATGGCTTGTCTGTAAGTATGTCATACGGTAGACGTTTGTCTATGCCATAAACAATATAATAGGGTGATTTGCCTGTAGAGCTGTTGATCGACCCATTAATAGATGCGGCGACTTGCGGTAACCAAGCTTCCCATGTATAGTGCATTTCACTCGCTATTGGACGAAGAATCTCTAAGGATTTGCAATTGGTTCTTTCAACAAGGCCATTAGCCTGTGGATGATAGGCTGTGATAAAACTTTGTTGGATGTCGTATTGTCGACATATTTGTGCTACAAGTTGGTTCTTGAACTCTAATCCGTTGTCGGAGAGAAGAACCTTGGGCATAGTTAAAGGACATATGAGGTGAATAACTAAGGCATAAGCCACAGATTTGGCTGTTTTATCCTTCAGTGGGACCAAAATCACAAATCTAGAAAAATTATCCACACACACTTGATGACTCCTCGGGAGTTGATCGCGACTGTGTTAATCGGACGTTCTGGTGTAGGATATTGTAGAATTGGAGCTGGTGACCTTGTAGTACACTTATGCTGAGCACATGACAAACACTTAGCAATATGAAATTCTATGTTTTTCTTCATAGTTTTCCAAAAATACTTCTTTCTGACCTCCGCCAGACATTTGTCACGTCCGAGGTGACCTGCATGGGGAGCATCGTGATACAACGTTAGTATCGTTTCACAAAGTGTATTAGGTACAACAATTTGTGTAACAATACAGTACCCTCAGTTGTCTGCTTGGAGCGAAGGAGTATGTCTCGTCATAGTTCAAATTAATTGAACGGAAGAGGTAACTTTGGAAGATTAGCCTCCTCCCCCGACTATAGAGCAAAAATGATAGTAGACCACAATGGATCGAGTCGTTGTTCATCCCTTAATTGCAAGTGGGAGAACGATGATATAGGCATCACTGGTGCTATGTTTCTGGACAAAGCGTTTGCGACCACATTCGCTGGTCCCGAAAATATTGAACTCGGGTTCAAACTCTTGAATGGTCAGATACCAGCGTGCTAGTGTACCTGAAAGATTTTTATCATGAAACAGCTCTGTCACTGCCACGTGATCTCTATAGACGGTTATTTTATAACCAAAAATTATGTCTTTAAACTTCTTCAGTGCTCAAACAACAACTAACATTTCTAGATGCGTTACTGAATAATGTGTTTTGGCATCATTAAGTTTAGGACTTGCAAAAGCAATCACTCTATATTTTCCTTGTGTGTCCAGCTGTGGTCACAAAAAGAAGAGGAAAAGTGTTACATTAGAATAAATTCTAATGTAAAAAGATTTGAAGGACACTTGTGTCGGTTTGCGGCCTACAACTGTAGGTAAGAACAATTTGTGGAAATTTGTGACTTGGTTATTGCGGGGGTTGGTTATTCGAGGGTGGGTTAAACGAGGGTTTGCTGTTCTATAATGTAACGCGAATGTACTGGGGGCTATTCAAGATTGACAAATTCATTTGTTGGGTTATTTAAAAGTAGCCCGATGTTCAGAATTTCTGTTCGAACTTACTACCTCGAATAATAAAAAAAAATTACCAAAAGAAAAACATAATGATAATTGTAAAGTGCTGACTTACCCATAAATTACCAATAAATGAGCTCCACAAACATCAAATAATTATTATTTTACGTACTTTGCTTTCTTTTTACAGAGTGAAAAGCGCAGTGCCTATGTTGATGTAAGAGATAAGGATGAGACAAGTGCAGACTGGGATGAGGCAACACTTTTAGATGTTGTGGAGAAGAAGCATGGAAAAGAAAAATTAAAACCCTCAACAGAAATTGTGAGTATTTTCTCCTCTGAATATAATTTTGCTGGTATGGTATTGTATTGTACAGGTAAAGTAAAATTATTTTGTGGTGACACATACACTATATAAAACTTTTTCTTGTCTTTTTTCCTAACAGGTTTGCAAGTATTTTTTGGATGCTGTGGAAAATGGCAAATATGGTTGGTTCTGGGATTGTCCAAATGGAACTGCGTGTATTTATCGCCATGCTCTGCCTCCAGGTTTTGTAGTAAAGAAGGTGAGTGCTGGGCCCTTGTTAGTTCTTCCTGATGATGCATATTGTAGACGTGCTTATTGGTTGAACTACTTGGTTAAGGATTTTGGAATCACTTGATGATTCATGCTGCCCCCAAGTTTTTTCACCTTGAGGTTTACTGTGCTAACCTTACCTAATATGATCCAACATTACTTAATCTAACATAATCTACCTTGTCATAAGCTATTATAACCAGTATCATGATATTCTTCACTTCCATCACTCACTGGCCCTTCATTCTTGATCCATGGCCCAGTTGGCCCATGTAAAGTTAAAATAAACTTCAGCATCTTGGTTTGTGATTACAGTACATGTAATAGATAGTGGATGACCATGGATATTAAATGAAACCTTTAATTTCTATGCTGTCAGGATCGCAAGAAAATGGAGAAACAGAAAGAAGAAATTAGTTTGGAAGACCTCGTAGAACGTGAGCGAGCTGCCTTGGGTCACGACACAACTAAAGTTACATTAGAGACATTCTTAGCGTGGAAGAAGAGGAAACTAAAAGAGAAGGAAGATAAAGAGAAAAGAGACTCGGAAAAGAAGAAGAGAGACTTTTATTCGGGAAAAGAATTTGGCGTAAGTAAATCTCCAAGTTAAAAGAGAATTTTTCTAACCAGTGTTAGTATGGATGTGGCTGTAGGTATCGACAATACTGTACCAATTACACTCAAAAACATTTAAAATTTTAATTTTTCTTGATATTCACATTGTTGATCATGGATAATGTTAAACTGAACTATATATCGCTACTTATGAGACTTGTATCCACATTACATGGAGAATGTTGTAATACACTATGACATGGCCCATTGTGCCCCCATTTCTAAATAATTTATACACTTAATGGCACCTAAAGCTAAGTGGGATAAGATCTTCATTTTCCATATTTTACGAGGACCTGGGGCCCAGTTGACCTCAGTCCTTATGGATCCCAAACTTAAAGGCACAATAAAAGTAGAGCTACAAATGCTTTTTCCATTTAAATTACATGGCACTTATCTGTAAGCTTAATTTTAATTTTCCTGATAATTGGGGTCCTATTAGGACATGGTTTCAAGTGGTCACATGATTAAGCAGACTGTGTAAGGTCAGTTTAATAGTGCAGCAAGTGGTGTGAGGTTAATGGATGCTCTGGAGATTTGCCACTCAGCTTGTTGGCCCCAGTTTTTACTTTATGATTTAAAACAGTCACTATAATTAATGGTGAAGTATATTACTCTGCTTGATTCCCATTATCATGATTGTTTTCATTAATAAATGTGTTCATTCACCTGTCCAGTGTCTCTTTGTTTTTATTTTTTCACTACCTTAAATATGGTTGATGCTATGATTAGTAGATCTTGTAGTACTGTACTAATGCAGAACTGATCACCCATATATAATTTTGTATTTATTTTATTTTTTCTAAGTACAGGCCTCTTTGAATCAGACATAAACAGTTAATCTGTTTTCAGCTATCTGGTCGTGAAATGTTTACTTTTAATCCTGACCTGGCAATGGGAGAAGATGACTTTGAAGAGGATGAAGAGTCTTTCGATGTATGCAACATTGAGAATGACACCGAAGATACTGAAGAACTGAAAATAGAGGTAGAGAATTGTGGTTCTTTTTATGTCTAATTTATCAGGTGGTAGCAAGCCCCCCACCCCCCTTGAAAGATATATAGATATATATATATATATATATATATATATATATATATATATATATATATATATATATATATATATATATATATATATATATATATATATATATATATATATATATATATATATATATATATATATATTTATGTATATATTATATATCTTGATAAAATCACACGGGAAAATGGAAACAACGGAGCACCTTAGCTTTCGTCTTTATTCAAGACATCTTCAGAGGCAACTGGACTACATGGACAGAGAGAGGCTTAAATATACAGGGTGACCTTAAAAACATGAGGTCAGGTCATAATGATGTCATCCACTAATCCCCACACCAACACACACGTAGAGGAGCTTAAGAGAAGGGGGGTGACGTGACTAGTCGGGTCAGGTCCCTTATTTTTGACCTGACCTGACCGTGTGATTTTATCAAGATATATATATATATATATATATATATATATATATATATATATATATATATATATATATATATATATATATATATATATATATATATATATATATATATATATATATACACACACACACACACAGTATTACCCCGCCTAACGCGGTTTCACTTAACGCGTTTTATCATATACGCGGTGCCTCGCCAGAGCTGAACTTTCACTTAACACGGATTTTTCCCACATATACGCGGTGAGTGTCCGGCTCGAGACGCTATTTTTAGATTTGCCCCACCTGCCACCCTGCCTGACTGCCTGTTTTAGCTCATAAAATTCATACAAATTACCCGGCCAGAATATAATTTACATTGCTGGAATTCTTATAATTTGGTGATCATTTTGAATATAAATATCATATATTTTGCATTAGACATACAAATTTTAGATAAAAATTTTTCTCAGAGTAACTATGTTATCTTTTGTGCAAAATATATGACATTTATATTCAAAATATTCCTGGTCTTACAAGGAATCCAGCAATGTCAATTATATTATCCTAACTTTAGTTTGAGGTATTATTTATTAAAATTTAGTGGTTATCCCACACATCTCCTTGGGACGGTTGGTAGGGGGTGGGGGGGAGGGAGGGACCGACCGACCATCTGTTACCCCGTGAAGAATTATTATTTTTTATTTACTGAAGATATTTGTTTTAGCTCATAAAATTCATACAAATTACCCGGTCTGAATATAATTTACATTGCTGGAATTCTTATAATTTGATGATCATTTTGAATATAAACATCATATATTTTGCATTAGACATACAAATTTTAGATAAAAAATTTTCTCAAATTAACTATGTTATCTTTTGTGCAAAATATATGACATTTATATTCAAAATATTCCTGGTCTTACAAGGAATCCAGCAATGTCAATTATATTATCCTAACTTTAATCTGAGGTATTATTTAATACTAAATGTTAAAAACCCTGGAAGGGAGGATTGGTGGGGGGTGGGGGGAGGGTTGGGACTGACCGCGCGGTTGGAAGAGGGGGGGAGGCAAGGTGGGGTACTTTGATTGACAGATAGTGTCGTGAAGATTATTTTTTTTTTATTAACTGAAGATATTTGTTTTAGCTCATAAAATTCATACAAATTACCCGGTCAGAATATAATTTACATTGCTGGAATTCTTATAATTTGGTGATCATTTTGAATATAAACATCATATATTTTGCATTAAACATACAAATTTTAGATAAAAATTTTTCTCTAGGTAACTATGTTATCTTTTGTGCAAAATATATGACATTTATATTCAAAATATTCCTGGTCTTACAAGGAATCCAGCAATGTCAATTGTATTATCCTAACTTTAGTTTGAGGTATTATTTATTAAAATTTAGTGGTTTTCCCCCAAAAATTTCTCTGAGAGGGAAGAGCCGGCAGTGTAGTGTGAGAGGGGGAGGGAGTTGAGTCCATTATTTGAATGGACATTAACTTGGCGACTGTATTTCTCTATTTCTCTTAAGTATTAATTGTGTGCATGTACCATCATAAAATTAAGATGTTATTTTTACTACAACATAGGTATGTGCCTTCAAAAAGTGGAGTTTGGGGGTCGGGCCGGTTTCTATTGGAATTAATCCCATATGTTCTGTTGTTCACTTAACGCAGGGACCCTCTGGGTTCAATTGACCGCGTTAAGTGGGGTACAACTGTATATATATATATATGTATGTATGTATATATATATATATATATATATATATATATATATATATATATATATATATATATATATATATATATATATATATATATATATATATATATATATATATATATATATATATATATATATATATATACTGATAACCACAAGGAAAGAAGAAAACACGAAGTTCCCAAGCGCTTTCGTGTAATTCACATCTTCAGGGGTGAGTACAGACTAAAGAGAAGTACAAAACAAGGTGTATATATACAGAGGAGGCTGAGATCAGGTCCACAATGGTCAGGTATTAGGTAATGACCCTACTAATCTTTAAATAGCACCGCAATGGTCGGTAGTCAGGTCAGAGGGTAAGGTGACCCAACCTTCTCACCTGGCTACAAATCTTCTTAATTACAAAATTGTCCAGTTTGTACATGCCATTACTCAAATTCATGTTGAATGCTTTGGTATGTTTAATGAGGCTAGATTCTATGATGTTCCTACTGTCAATTGAATTACAAGGTTATATTGAGGAGGCATTATCCCAGTCAATGCAATGCTTGTTATCCCTCAAATGAACAAACAGAGCATTGGATTCCTGGCCTGTCCTAACACTATATTTATGTTGTTTAAGTCTAGTTACAAGATCTTTACCTGTCTGGCCTAAGTAAAACATATTACATTCCTTGCAAGGAACCATATAAATGCAACCAATTGTGTTGTTGGGGGAGTTCTTGATTAACATTTGTTTAACAATGCATGAGTTTTTGAATGCCACATTGATGTTCCAGGTTTTTAGTTGTAAAGGAATTTGAAAGAAATTTTTGTGAAATGGTAATACTAAGAGATTCTTATGGTCATGGGTGGGCTTGGGATCAGTTCTATAAAAAGATTTCTTTGTAATGTTCAGGCATTTGTCTATGAAAGATCTAGGGTATTTAAGGTTTGAGCCAATATTATAGATACAGTCAACCATCACTTAACGCGGTTAATATAACCCACAGGGTACCGCGGAAAGTGAGAAACGCGTAAAGTGAACAACATAACATATGGGATAAATTGAAATAGAGACCGGGCCGACCCCCAAACTCCACTTTTTGATGACACACAACTTTGTTGTAGTAAAAATTTTATCTTAACTTAATGATGGTATGCACACACAAGTAATATAGAAGAGGTTAGGTTAGGAAAAATAAAGGTTAAGTTAGGAAAAATAAAGGTTAGGTTAGGAAAACTAAAAGTTAGGTTGAACACTTACGTTAGTAGAAGAGATGGGTCGGCGTACGGGGATGGAGGCTGGTTCCGAGGCAGAGGGCAGGCTACTGGCCCTCAGGTGAGTCACCATCACTGTCATCCACACTTGTCAGGGCCTCCCTGACAAATCCCTCAAAGTCATCTTCACTGTCTCTACCTCTGTCACTATCACTGGCTTGGGCTGGCTGTGGTGGGTTGCGGGCGAAGAATTCTGTTATGCTTTGCTGACGGCTGGTGTTTATGTTATCGTGATAAACCTTGAAGTAGGGCTCCATAGTCTGCAATAGCTGGGTAGTGACGATTTCATACCTGTTTGTGTCATGGTCGTCGGAAAGGAGGAGCTTGATTTTCTCGACACACTCGATGGCACCCCTAACATTACTGTGGGATAAGCGGTGTTCTTCTTGGGATGATGCACCACCTGCCTCTTCACTGACGTCATCATCATCTACCATCTCCTCGGTAGTCACATCAGGATCCCTTATCACCGCCAGGATGTCGTCGTTGGTGGTCTCGGAGAAGCCTGCAGCTCTAACACTCTGTGCAGCTTCTCTGGCAAGGTCCACTGCCACTGTAACAGTCTGAACCTCACCAGTCACAGATTGACTCTGCCTTACGCCCGGAATGCCTTGCAACACATATCTCCATGAGTGACGAACAGTTGCTACAGACAGCTGATCCCATGCCTCCACCAAGAAGTCCACAGCTTTCTTGTTGTTAAATATTCTCCAGAATTGTTTGAAAAGTATTTTTTGCTCTGCCAACTGTTGATCCTCGTCTTCTTCGCTCTTGCTATCGGTGGTGGTGTCACTCAGGTTACGCAACTCTTCCCTGGTGTTGGTGTAGTCGTTCAGGAGCTGGAATTTTTTTGTTGAGAATGCAGCTTTTACATTGCAGATTAACTCTTGGTCCATGGGCTGTAATATAAACGTAGTGTTTTGAGGAAGGAAGACCACTTTTACGTTGGGGTGACGATCTAACAGTAGGGGCGAGTGTCCTGGTGCGTTGTCCAGCAGCAACAAAATCTTGAATGGCACATTCTGTTGCTCACAGAATTTCTGTACATCGGGAACGAAACAGTCATCAAACCAGGAGAGGGACAGTGTAGAGAACATCCACGCCTTACGTGCGGTCAGCCAGTGGACATTTAGCTTGGTCATGTCCATGTTCTTGTAGGCGTGCGGCTTGCGGGCTGTGTGGATCACCGATAACTTGAGATAACAGGTACCAGAGGCATTGGTGGTAAGCAGGACAGTGATGCGCTCCTTCTGCATCTTCCGGCCCCGAATCCTGCTGGCATTCTTCACAACGAAGGTCTTGGAAGGTAGCTTTTTCCAGAAAAGACCAGATTCATCCATGTTAAACACCTGGTTGTCTGTGTACTGTCCTTCCTTCATAATCTCACGTAACAACGGAGGAAATTCCCGAGCCGCAGCTCGGTCAGCACTGGCTTCTTCACCACCAACGTTTATATTGGTGATCTTGTTCCGCATCTTAAACCTCTGTAACCACCCAGAGGAAGCATTAAAGGGTTTGGGCTCTGTAATTCCCATCTTTC